CTTGTGATATTATTAAAAATAAATATGGTAATTCATATTTAGATTTGAAAAAATCTTATAATATGAATTTATTTTACAATAAATTTCATATTATATTTCCTTATATTTTATAAAAAATTTTTTTTATTCAAAAATAATATATAAAACATTATTAGTTAATAATATATAAATTTATATTATTATTACATTAAAATTATAAGGTTTTTAATAAGAATTTTTTAAAAAACAAATTTAATTAAAGTATTATATTATAACCGATATTTATTTTTAATTTTAAAAAAATAATAATATTTATATAATAGATAAAAAAAATAAAAAATAAAAAACTTTAATAATATTGCATCCTTTTTATAATACAAGCTGTTTTTTTTTTTTGATAAGAAAGATAGTTTAAAATATTTATGATGAGGTTTTATGCAAGTAACAAAACTTTTAATATTTTAATGTATATGCATGCTAATTACATAAATTTATATTCATTTGAAAGGCTAGAAGTATATTATCTAAATAAAAAAATTATTTAAATTGAATCACTACATGTGAAAATATTAAGGTTGCTGGATGAAATCAAGAGTTTAGACAGACATCTAAATGGTAAAAGTAAAACTTGGTTAAATTATATTAAAACTTTATTAAAAATTTGCGAAATTTAGAAAAAGGTAAAACTATATCAAAGCTTATAAAAATAGCGAAACTATATCAAACACTTAGTAAAAATTTAGCAAAACTAAAGGTTTTACCATTTTGCCAAATCCAAAATGAGTTTAGACAAGTAACCTTAGAAAATATTAATGATTTTAGTAATAAATATAATTAAAAAATTTTTATGATAGGTTTTATGCAAGTGACAAAATTTTAAATAATTTAACATATATGCATGCTTATCATATAAACATTTAAAAGGCTAGAATGTATAATATCTAAACAAAAAATAATCATTCAAATTGAATCATAATCAAAGTCAAAAGTCAAAAATAATAAATATATTGAATGCATTTATTTAGCAACCAATAATTTAATTTATGCAAATTTTAGCTTATTGGATAACTTATAATTACTTTATTTTAATGAATATAAATTCATTTGTCTAACACATATTTATATTAAGTTATTCACAATTTTGTCATGATAATTATATTTTGATTTTAATAATATTATTAATTAAAAAATCATAAAATTAAATCAATTTTATTTATACTATTTTTGTAACTAGATTTATTTTGTTATAATTTATTAATTTAAAACATAGAGTTAATTAATAGTTATTTTTTTACGTAATAAACATAATAATAAAATTAATAAAATGGTATCATATAAACACAAATTTTAATATATTGAATAAATAACACCCTTGCGATAGTGTAAAAATTATATTAAAATTGAACTGTTATTTTTTACTAAATTATAGCATTTTTTATAATAATTTATATTTATTACTAAGTTGATAATTGTTTATTATCTCTAATTGAATGATCTACTGTATTAAATTTTCCTTAAGTTATATTTGTGTTGATACTTTCTGATTTTATGACATCAAAATAGGAATTGATCAAGATAGAATTATCTTATCTTTCCTATGATATATATGGTTGAATTATTTTTGAAATCTAAATCTAAATCAGAATTTTGAAAACAAAGAGTTTTAATTGTTAGTTTATTATTGTATTATTTAAGTTTTATAAGAAATCAAATCAGAACTACTCTGAATGTCAATTATATTAGTATTGAAAAATTACTTTTAAAAATAAAAATTGTTGTTAATTAAAAACTACTGATATTATTGATTATGCAATGCAATAAGTTTTTGATAGCATTATATTTACTTTATTAAAGTTTGATAATAAATTTAAGTAGAATTTATTGCCTTATAAATTTAATTCTTATTATAGAAAAGTATTTGTATTAAAAAAATTCAATTGGATGTATAATATTGTTATTTTTATTTTTGTTATTTTTTTTTATTTTATATAAAATTATATGTTATTTTATAATTTTATATACATCAATTTTCTAAAAAATTATAAAAAAAAAAAATTATTAATTACATATACAAATCTTAGTAAGCAAATTTCAATTTTATTATTTTAATCAAATTTTTTAATTATAATAAACCAATATTTTTATTTATAATTGATATTAAATTATTTGATTAAAAGAAATTAAGTTATAAAAAATTATTTTATATATAGTATGTGTTAAAATAAATAATACTTTATAATATAAATTTGATTTAAATAAAAATTTAAAAAATTAAAGTTAACATTAATTTATATTAATAAAAAATATATTTATTTTTTATTATAAAAATTAATAATTTGGATTAATTTAAATTATATCAAATTGATCGTAAGGCCCTTTGGGAGGCATATAATTAACATCCCTGTCCAAAGTATCTGACAGAACGACCATAATCCCGAATATTAATATTTTAAAATTATAATATAATAAAAGTTTGCTAATTGCAATATTCGCACGACATTATTAAATTTTTATTAATGATTTTTAAACTTTCTTTCGATGAGATAATGCATTGTATGATTTAGCAAGTTTCATACATTTTTATCGAAGATAAAGATTTTTTAAAGCAAAAATTTAAAAAACTCAATAATCTTCGTTAAACTCGTGATAGAACTTTAAATATCTTAATATATTTAATTTTTCATAACAATAATATTCGGGATTATGTCCATTCGGGATTATGATCATTCGGGATTATGACTTAGGGATTATGACCCTTCGGGATTTTTGATCTTTGGGATTTTGAACCTCCCGTTCCGTTATATGATGTCCAATTTTACATATTTTACATATACAGTATAAGTTTACAGTTTATGTCCAATTAGATAAATGTCCAACACTGTTGGGATAGGACTGACTGAATGTACTGATGTACTTCTTTAGATACCATCTAAATGAGCAAACAGAAACAATAAGTATTAGCAAAAAATAAATAAATAAATAAATAAATAATAAAGAAACTTACCTATTCATATCGCATTGGTTCTTTTGTACCGATCTTCTGTCTTTGTCTTGACAACCGCTCATCCATATAAAACGTAAACATAATAAAGTCTGAACAACTACAAAGAAAAATGGCCTCGCTTTATATTAAATAATATTAAATTGAGCCGAGAGAAATGTCGCTGTAAAGTAAATGGTATGAGATTTAAGCTTCATCATAAACGATTGGTGAGAACTCCATAAATTCGTTTTAAATTTCCCATAATCATAATATTGCCATGATATTATGTTCGTTCATGTTGAAATTTATTACGACTAACTTATCAGTGGCAGCGGTTTGTTTCAACTATAACGTATATGTATTTTTGGGCGAAAAAACAATGTTAATTATATTTCCATCTGGCAAAATGTATAACTAGATAATAAAGTTTCTAAGATGAGAATTCCTGAAGTATAACTGCATTAAAACATTCATCGACTGTCAACGATATTTTTTACATCCAAAATGAATGCCTTTTGACGCCAAAGATATCAAGATAATTTCAGTAATATTTTAACGATCGGAATATAAAGAAAATGGTCTTCTTTCTTTTATGTGTTTATGCGAATCTCTTAAATTTTTTTTACGAAAAATGCTTTTTAAATTTTAAATCGGAAGATAAAATAATCGGAGTTACTGCGCCGCGCAACATTGAGTCGTAAAATATAGAGTGGAGGATTTTTTTTAGAAAAATAAGTATATACATAATTAAGCCTTAACGTTAAATGATTTTTTTCAAACAGGTTTTTGGTAATAAATGTAAAAAATTAGCAATCGCACTTTAATTAAATCTCGCCTTTATGTGAATATAATAGTAAATAAATGTGCTATGTTCATTTTTTTCCGATCGTATATTCTTTTTTTTTTAATCTTGTGTTTCCAAAATCAAATGATTTTATTTATGAAAAAAATCTAGTGGTTAGATTACAGATAACGCCACCTTTTTCAATTAACAAACACGTGAACCAGAATCGTATACATTTGCAAGTAAGTCAGATTAGATTGGACAAAATGAATCAAAAAAATGAAATTTCAAAAAAAATCAAAGACGACTTAATAATAATACATCCTTGATCCAAAAGCCTAAGGAAAAAATTATCAATTAAATTGATCGCTACAGTTCAAAGCAATCAAATAAGTAAGAAAAAAAAATAAAAAACAAAACCTTACCTATGAATCACCTAAAAAAATCGTCTTAAAAAACCCGTTAATTTGCAAAAAAAAATAAAAAAATAAAATTAGAAAGGAAAAAATCTATCGCTGCGGCCTAAACTTGAAAAAAAAAGACTCACCTGATTCTTGAATCAATCTAATCAGCATTTTTTTTTATTTATTATTTTATTTATTTCACAGTCGCGGTTCACCATGCGTCCACAAGGGGCAGCTAAAAAAGCAATTTACATATAAAGAAAAGAGAAACTAAACTAAAAAAAGAAAAGCGTAACCATCCGTCGTTTTTTGAATTGCAACTCTTTGGTAGACCCATTCCGCTCAGTTAAATGACCCTCCACGTAGAACATGAATTGAGTGAGCTAATTAATCAGTTTCGGAAACAAAAATTTCAAAAATTCTTTTTTTTCAACATAAATAAAACCAAGCATATATATAAATGCTAGAAAAATACTTTCTACATATAAGGTTAAGCAACATGATACAAACTTTAGCTAATAAATGTATAACTGTGAGAAATTCCGCAGTAATCGATTTTCCTATGACACAATATGAAACTGTTTATTACATAAATTTGTTCCACACTTTTTTAAGGATTGTATATTTTTTTTTAAAAATCGCCTTATATGTAAACATAATAGTAGGTTTATTTATAATTTTTATTTTTGTCTGGTCAGATCATCTTTCATTTTTATTACAAAATCCAATTATAAGATTATAGAATACGCGACTATTTTTGCACAAATATCAAATAATAATAAATATTGTTTCTAATTCCCATTTTTTTGCGCTCTACGTTTATTCAAGTGTGAATATTTCAAGTGTGAATATGTCGAATACACTTTTAAATCCACAGCGAATTCCCACTAAAAGTTTATATTTCTTTCTTATGATCCTGTTTTCATTTTATGTAGTAGAAGTTTTAACAAATCCAATCCAACCATCATCGACAACATCTGCATCTTCGTCAATGAAATTTAGAAAAAGACAAGTTCCTGTCGTGACAATTACGAGAACATCTATAGTGATGACCACACCAACAATTGCTAAATCATCCTCCCCGACACCGAAAAACAAAAAAGTTCCTATATCAAACCTCAAGGACTGTGGTGGTTCTGTGACATTTTCAAAATTTGAAGTCTTTTTTTTGAAAGCTCAAAACACAATAACTTTCCTTGCCGAAGGAAAGAGCTCTGAATTTAGAGGATATTGCCACTGGTAAAGAATTTTGACTAGAGAAAATTATTGATTTTTATTTAATTTTAACATTGAAAAATAGTAATACTGTACATTTACAATTCTCTAGTAAAAGTCTCTATTTATTGGGATAGCGCACGCTCTCTTGACTACGAAATCAATCCAACTGACTATGTCATTTATCCAATTGACGACGAGAATTCAGCAAACGTTATATTCATCTACACCACTACTCAAGTGCTTGAAGAATCTTTAGGTGCATTTCATTATTTCATCTCATTTGACTATTGATGAAAATTTCGGAAATTAACGTGCATTGCAAATATGGAAAGATTTTTTCAAAGTTCCAGGAAGCAGCGCTTATGCGTTTTTATCTGTGATAAAGGCAGGTGAAAATGGGCCACATGATTATGAGACCTTAGGATGTGCTACTGCCTCTCTTGACAGTATACCGACAGGAGCCTTCCCATACTTATTTAACGTTCCGGCCGTACTTGGAACGGTTGCTGTTATGTTTGGCTTTGTGATATCAAAAGTTAGTGCTGCGGGAACTTCTTTACCAGGTGATATCATGAATCAACATAACCATCAATCATTTCAGCATCCTTCATCCGGAACTGTTACTCAGCAGACCGATTTAAGTTCTACCGCTCCTGTGAAAGGTCACGTATCAGAAAATTTTCCGGGTTATGATAGTGCTAATATTAATGATGTTGGCTGCGGTCACATTCCAAAGGATAGTTTTGCGCCTATACCGCATTCTGATGGAAATGTACCGCATGATCCCACTAACGGTATATCTACCACTGCAACCGATAAATCTAACACTCATCAGTCTTTATCAGTATACGACCTCTTTCGTGCAGCTCAGTTTTTTGTAACCACTGCTCTAATTTCTGTACCTGGACTTTCATATAGTTATTGGGATTTAGCATCCAAACTCGGATGGTCATGCGGTTTACCAAGCGGATTTAACGTTAAATTTCTGTCTAACATTGCAGACGAACGAGTACGAAAGTCAATATGTAATATGACAAATTTTTGTTCAGATTTAACCGATAATAACAGCACATGCATACAAGAAGACATACCCAAACCCTCTTTCAACGTGACCGGATTCGCAACTTATGGAAAAGTATTGAAGGTCCCAGAATATAATTTATTCTTCGTAATGGTTATTACATTTAGTATCGCAGTGGGAATTGCACTTGTTATCGCGATGTTGATTGGGATATTGGCAAGGTTTTGTAAGTGCTTATGGAATAAATGGCCCGCCTTGAAAATGGCAACGAAAAATGTTCACTTTATGGTGCTCGGTGAGTCAAGACTCTATATTATAATATATTATAATGCAGGCAAATAATAATGACTTTTCTAATCTCCAATCTTATTTTCCTAGGTGGAATTTTACGTGTTGTAAGCAATAAAAGATTTTTTGTGGGTTTAAATATTTAATTGCAAAAAATTTCTTACTTCATCTTTCCTTACTACTTATCCAGTTGCTACTATTTTATTATCCTCTAACCCTCTTTTCCGCCTATCAACTGTCGCTTTATAAAGATTGTTGGTTTTTTCTTTTACTTGCTGTAATTTGCATAATATTTTTGTCACTTGGCGCAATAATCTTTTGTGGCTACAAAATTTTTCGAGCTTGGAAAAATCGAGCTCAATTGAAAAATCAAGACGAATTGGATGAATTTAAGAAACCAGCTTATACCCTCTTTTACAGCTCATTCTACACTCAATATAAAGATCATACGAATAAAATTGCATATTTTTTTTCATATTCATATTCGCTTACGATTTCTTTCGAGCAATTGTCATTGGGTTGGGTCAAAAAATTGCTATTTTGCAAATCTTTGGTTTGGGTATAACGGAAATGACGTACTTTATCTTATTACTTTATTTCCAACCTTTTAAAACAAATTTAATGAATTACTTGAAGATATGTATATCGTTTTTAAGATTCGTTATCGTATGTATGCTAATAGCATTCTTAAGTGGCATGGCCGCAACTATTAAGAATCGGATTATAATTGAGATGATTATAAAATCTTCGCACTTCTTTATCATAGGAATGTTAGTCACTATAATAGTTATAAATTTAATTATTGCAATTAAAGATTTTGTCACCAAAAAGGATAATAAAGATAATGATGATAAAGTAATTACCACCACATTATTATGATAAGTAGTCGTTTGTATTTTGAAGAAAGAAAACTTTTCGGTATTTAAGGAACATCAACAAGGGTGATAATAAAATGCGAAAATTTTTTTGTTTTACAAATAATATTCACGTGATTTCACATATCGGACCTAGAGTAATAAAAGAGCCTCGGAACAGCCTTTTTTTTAAGGTTAAGATTGTGGCAATATTTATCGTGGCTTAACATACATATTGGGATTTGGTCCAGATATATTTATCATGAACAAAAACGTCCGTTTCATAACGTAATGTTGTTATTAATCATTGTTTACTAATTTCGGGCTGTTTTCGTGCGTCTTTTGTTCGTCATAGAATGTTATTTATGATATCATTCATTGTAAGACTAAATAAGTAACGTTCTGTTTTAATGAAAGAAAGTTAATCCCTTTCAGGATATTCTTGAAAGAACAATTTTTTTGTTTGGTCAATCATTATGTAATGATCATCAGGCACCCACGGACTTTCAAAATTTAAGGATTATTTTTCTTTTATGCGATATTTGAACTATATTTGGATGATGATTGCAAGTTATTGGCTCAAAATTAAAGTAAGATTCAATGTTTAAAAGACAAAAACAACGTTTTACAATAACATATATTCGGAAAATTTTATTTAGTCTTAGGAAAAAAAGATAATATGATGTGTACACAATCAGCTTATAGTATTTTGACAGATTTAAGAAAATTACATTTTTTTTTATATTCGAATATATTCATAAAATTTAAAATTTTGCAATTTGTTGGATCCAAAAAAAAAGTCTATTGATGTTTAATTTGATATTTATGTACAGAAATAAAAGAAAATCTTTTAGCTAAAATATAAAGATAATAATAAATCCTTCTGTATAATATAATAATATGTCCAAAGTCCAAAATAAATAAATAAAAAAAAAAATAAAAAAAAATACGAAAAAAAGAGATTATCACATTTCTTATGTGTGTTAACGATAATTACGACATTAAATGTTATTTAGACCAAAATTTATCCTTAATTTTTTAAATGAAGAGTATGCTTAATCTTAAATTGTTTATCATTCTTTTGCCACCAGGGCTTTTTTTATAAAGTAACGAAAAAGTTAATGAGACGAATTGGAACCGAACGAATCATAAAAAGTTTCAAAGGGAAATTCATTGAAATATTGTTGTTGAGGGAAATCGATTGTTGCATAATTTATAGAATTGTTCACGGGGGAAGTGCCATATTCACTTCCGTTATGCGAAAATTGTTCAATTTGTTCCGGAGTAAGAGGCGAAGCAAGTTCGAGGTGACGAGTTAAATGGCCTAGGGTGCTCAGATCGGAGTCAGCGTCAGATCCAGGAGATAAAGACAAGTTTGCAATTTCATTCATAATTGGGCTAGTTCGAATAATTGATGGTGTGGAAATGCTTTCAGTTGTAGCGGTGGTCATGGTATTTAAAGGTTGTGTTTGTTGATCATTAGAGAAAGTATATTGAGCGACAATTTCATCAATATTTTGTTGTGTGGCGATTCGATTAAAAGCATCGTTCGGATTACAATAGTTCATTGTGTTTTCGGCAATATTTTTTAACATTTCAATGATGTGAATGTATGTTTCATTATCATGATCATTTTGTAATAATCTTGAAAGAAATTCGATAATAATTGGCATTAAAATTTCCCAGCATCTACTTTCATTAATAGCTTGACGAAGTTGACTAAAAACGGTTAAAACAGTTTGATCATTTCGCGTATTGGGGAGGAGAGTTAAACAATCGATAATCAAACTTTGGATTTGTTTTTCAAGATTAAGAATTCTAATTCTAGTTTGTAATTTTATATCTGTCTCCACTAAATTTTTCTCCAAACTTTCAACACGATTATTAAGTTTTTCAACTTGTCTATTTTTTCTTGGACTTTTATCATAAACGCAAGTCCCAGTATCACAATTTGAACACTCAAAATTTTTTTCGGCATCCCCGTCACACTTAATCTTTAATTGTCTACATTTTTGGCAAGCTCTACGATTAATCGAACCTCTTGGTTGTCTTCGAATTGGTTTATTATTGACTTGAGACATTTTATCGAAAATGTTTATGAATATATTGAAGTAAATAAAATCTTAAAAAAAAATGTTTTTGGAAAGGAATAAAAGCTTAGAATTTCAATGTGTTTTGTAAATGTTTGTAATTGAAATCGATCGAATCGAAAGTGTATTGAAATGCGTATTGAATGGTACCAAAGCCAAACAATAAAATAAGTTAAACGAGTATTTTATCGACGTTATCAAGAAAAAATTAAAGTTATTAAAAACTAATAAGAGAAAATTTGTTTCGTTATGAGGTCGGGAAGGAAATGTAATATAATAATATATAGTTATAAGAATAAAAAATTAAAATAAAAAATTTGACGATATTATGAATTAAATTTCAGAGTTATGAAAATAATTGTAACCAAATATTTTGGCAAGGGAAAGAAAGGTAGAAAGCAAAAATTGGGAGATTTTATAGATTTTTTCTATTATGTTTGAGGCACAGTTTTGCTGCGGTATTTGCTTTTTTCTTTTTTCTTTTTTCTTTTTCTCTTTTTTGAAAATTGATAGATGATGACCTACCATTTTTATTTGATTTTGAAAAATTTTCAAGCCACCGTGGCATAGAGTGAATTTGGAAATGTTTCACTCCTTGGAAGGCTTCGATTATAGTTCAAACCAATGATATAACGTTTGAAACAAGCCACGTACAAAGAATTGTCCTGAAAAGAAGGGCACTAGCCACAGTATGACAAAGTCACGGATTAGAAAACCAATGAAATCCTTTCGGAATCCTGAACTACGGGAGCAACAAAGCATAATTTTCAAAAAAGGAAATAAAGAAGTCCAAACCATTGTTTTATAGTAAAAATGTAACATCACTTAACAAACTATTTTTTGGAGTTCTCCATGGAAGCGTAAGAAACTGCTGGAAAACTATTTTGGAAAATTATTTGATAAATTCGAAATTCTTCGGCTAATAAGTCATTTTTATGAACCATATTTTTTTTTTCTCTCTTTCCTTTTCTGTTTATAAATATAAACATATGGTTTTTCAACAACCATGTAAAGGATGTTGATCATACATGTGGCTTCGTTTAGAAAATTTGAAAAATTCCAATATCTGAGGATAATGAATTTATTTACTTTTTAGGATATTAGTTTCAATCTGTTTTTATTATTTTCACTAAAATACACCTGATTGCAAAAGTAATTTTTTTCGTTTGAAAAAAACAAAAATCCCAAAACTTCTGCGCCGCATTCCTCGGCCGTAAATATTATAAATGACGAATTTAGCTAAATTGAATTTTTCAAATTCTTCCCCCAACACTAATTTGTAAAGAAATGTAAATCATTATGTTAACAAAAAAGGAATTCGAAATTTCTGCGGCATGAAATTCGATATTATTGGAAAAAAATAAATTTTGTGTGTATGACAACATTTTGTTGAAAAGATATTATTTCTAATTATGTACATTATCTAGAAAGGTTTATTTCTAATTATGTACATTATCTAGAATATTTAATAAAAAGATTTATTTCTAATTTTGTTCATTGTATTGAATTATTTATAAAAAGATTTATTTCTAATTTTGTACATTATCTAGAAATATTTATAAATAGATTTATTTCTAATTTCGTACAATATTTCAATAACGCATCATCAAATTGCATGTTATTATGTACAGTTTTTCTATTTTTTCATTCTAATGAAAACTCTAAATAGAACATTAAACTTCTGACAAACAATCCTGAAACTTAAACATTTTGAAAATCTCCATTAAAAAAAAAAAAAAAAAAATGAGAAATGAAATTAAAATTAATTTGTTATTTTCATAATAAACCCCCTGACGTTCCAAACGAAGAACTTTATCAGAAAAAAAAAACATTGGAATTCGAAAGAAAACTAAAAATTAGGTAATTATCTTAGTATATTAGTCATCATTGCATCTAACCTCTATTACTTTTTTAAAAACATTTGATATTTCCAAAAATGACCTATAATGACTAAAAAGTTTAGACTCGCCAAGAAAATCACATTCTAGCATTTGACAGAACTGCGTCAACAGATTAGATTGCGAAAATTTGAATCATCAATTAATTAGTCAATTGAAAATGAAGGTCGAATTTTTTATCCTCCATGTTTTATTTATGTGTTTAACTTTTGAGGACTTTTAATACGAATTGCAAAAAAAATTGTTGATTTACAATTTTATTTATTATAACCAAAAAAAAAAATTATAATCTATAAAAAAATTTATTAGCAAAATTAATATTTTGATTGATTTAATAATTTTCTAATTATTGAAAATTAAAGATTATTATTATTTTAATAAAAAAATTTCAAAAATAAGAATTTACTATTAAATTAAATATTATTATAAAAACTATTATATGTTAAATAAATTATTACAAAATATTCAAACTAAATATTTTAATATTTTATTTAATATTTATACTATATATGATTTTTTTATTTATATATAAAAATTCAGATTCTATTGCATTTAATTCTTTAAAAATCTAATTTTTTTAATAAATTTTTTATATATTAAATTTATAATTGTTTATTTAAAAAAATATATATATTAAATGATTAAATGAAGCATACTACAACAAAACCAGACAAAGTAAACATTAGTATTATCAAGGATTTCAGGATTCAAAATTTAGTCATTATTATCACAATTATGTTGTAATTATAATTTAATAATCCAATTTGTTATTTTAAGTGATATATAGAATTATTCTTATATAAAATATAAATATAAAACTCATTTACATCAGATTTACTTTTATCATGGAATCCAAAAATTATAGTACTATCAGAAATATTTTGAATAAAGAGCAAGATAAAAAAATTGCTTCTTATATTTTCAAAATAAATGATATTTAAATGTTGGAAGCTTAACTGAATTACATTCTTATAAGAGTGTAATCCAGTTGCATTAGACTGTTACCTCGTTAATGTTTTCAGTACTCTGTGGCCTTTTTATTGTCTTGTAGCTATCTCTTATTTTTATTGTTCTGTGGTTTTTTTGTTGCTTTGTGACTATCTAATTGGTATTGACCTCTTACGTCTGAATGGATGTCAAATTCTATTTTAGGGCTTGCTGGCCTTCTGTAGCTATTTTGATACCTGATTTTATATTGGGAATACTGGCCTTTTGCGTCTGAATAGGTTCTCAATTCTATATTGAGAGACTTACCTTTGCGCCTGCTTGATTGCCTGTTAAAATGCCAAATTGTAATAAAAAAATTGTGTCAGTAGTGTAGTAAATTCATGGTTAATTTGGCCAGCTTTATGTCATAATTTCGCTAAAATTTGCCAAGAAAAGGGAAAGGCTATCTCTCACAGATCGACAGATCAAGAAAGGATGCTAAACTTACTTGCAATCCTACCTTTATATCCCCATTTGATTGCCAGGCTGAGGCACAAAGTGTTGAACTTGCAATCCATATATTTTTCTTTTGATTGCTATTTCTTGATTACCAGATGAGGCATAAAGTGCTGAACTTGCAATCCATATATTTTTAAAATTTACAACTTTTATACCTTTTTTTCATGTATTTTTCTGAGTCTTTTCATCTTTCTGACCTTTTTTCTGCCTATCATCAGTAAAACACAAAAGCATAATTTCTTATTTTCTTTTCTATATATTATTCTACCTTTGCATCTTACTAAAAGTATGCTATATTTTTCAAATTCATAAGAAAAGGTGATCACATATATTTTTTATTTTGAAGATTACAAATTTCTATGTAATTTTATACTATCTTCTTACATATACTTCCATGCTACTTGTGCAAAAAAAATTTGAATTCAATCTTAAAGAAATAAATAAAGCAATAAAGCTTTTTTCAAATGTAGCAGACTGTGATTTTGAGTTGGATTATAATGATCATATATATTTTTAACATTTATTGGCATCTAATACTAGAGAAGATGTAGCCTTTTTAGAAGTCTATCATGTTGAAGAAATTGTTTTCAAATATATTATTTGGATGGTAGGATCAGGCTTTACACTAATTGATCACCCATTTAAAATTTATAGCTTACCCGATACTCATGAGTGCATTGATGAGAACTTGCCTTTTCGTCTTATTCTAGATATCGATGCGAGGCAGAAGCCTGATCCTATGAATCCTGAACTCCCTTTCTTATATAAATACAAATTTTCTCGTAATGATTCATTATCCAGAATCTTAATTGCTTGTATTAATATCTTCACTAGTCGAAATTATTTCTTTCAGCACTAATACCTTTCAGTTGACATTCATCTGATTCAGTCATATGATTTGGCAAAAATTCAGCTTAAGTTACAAAATTCGATAGTCATTTATTATATTATGCGTAATTTAGCATTATTTCAGCACTATGACCTTTTGGTAAACATTCAGCCAATTCGGTCATACTATTTGATAAAAATTCAGCTTGTATTACAAAATTTGATAGTCATTTGTTACATTGTACGTAATTTAGCATTATTTCGGCACTATGACCTTTCGGTAAACATTCAGCCAATTCAGTCATACTATTTGACAAAATTCAGCTTATATTTAAAATTCAGTACAAAAATTATAACAAATCTACTGTTGTTTGTTATACCATACATAATTTAGTATTTTTCAAAATTAAGGACTTTCGGAAAATATTCAGATGATTCAATATGGCAAAATTTCAGTTATATGACATGAAAATTATAACAAATTGACTGTCGTTTGTTACATTGTATCTAATTCAGCATTATATCAGTCCAGTTTTGGTTTATTATGAAAAATTTATATTATAAAATAAAGTTAACGAATATGAAATTTATGATTTATCAGATTTATGGCTATATATTCAACGGCATTTGGACGAGTAGAAATTTTATATTTTGCTGATACAAATCGACAAAGAATGTGTTATACTGGAATAATACTATCACGATCATCAGGAAAAAATTCGTTTTTCCATAGTTCAACATTACAAGTTTTTCATCATCATCGATACTAAAATAATATCAAACTATATATGTTTTCACTAGCTTATACCACCGAATAAA